GCATTGTGACTGCTGCTGACACTGGGGTGGGAGACGATGCCTACAACCAGCCCGCCTCCTCCGGCTGTCCCCACGCCCGGAGGCCCAGGGTAGGGCGTGGGGACAGCCGAGGGCAGCGCCGGAGCGAGCTGCAATGCTGTGCCGTGTGTGCGTGCGTGCGGGGCCCGGCGGGCGAGGGCCCTTTAACTCAAGCCGTGGGCAGGGAGAGCCTAGCAGCAACCCGGCTGCAGCCGGCTGGGTTTCCTCTCCTGCCCCGCCCTGGCCCGGATCCCTCCACGCGAAGTAGTGCCGCCCCCCCCACCCCTTCCCCGGCCCGGCCCGGCCCGGCCCGGCAGGGCCCTGACCACCCTTGTCTTGCAGACCTACGCGCGGTTCACGGAGGCGCCGCTCAAGCTGCACAAGCTCAGCAACCCCTGGAGGAGCCCCGCAGGTGAGCGCCGCTCCCCCTGGCAGGAGCCCGAGACTCCCCCGCGGACACTGCCCCCTTGGCACGGCCGCGCTGGTGCCCGCGAGCCTGCCCTGCCTGGCTCCCAGCTCCGTGCCCCTGTCCCCGAGCACCCCATCAGCGCCAAGCACCGCTCCCTGCGCACGGCTCGCACCACTGCCCCTTGGCCCGCTCAAGCTGCCTGTGGGCTGGCACCGGGCTCAGAAGGGGCTTGGGCCGTGTCCCCAGGAGGGGACCCTCACCTGCTTTCCGCTCGCAGGACGGTTGCCGGCGCTGAAGACAAGGGAGGAAGGGGTTTTGTCCAAGACGCATGAGATCATCACACACCTCAGGAAACAGGTGGGCTGGGTCAGGCTCCTCCAGCCCTGCTGCAGCCAGCTGCCCTGTGGGGCTTGCTGCTAGCATGCAGAGGGCTGAGAGAGGAGCCCTGGGCCAGGAAGACGCTGTTGTGAACGTCCCAGGCAGGCCTGGGGGCTGCTCACCCTTGCCCCCCTGGCTGCTGGGTGGTCCTGCGGGCAGGAGAGCTACCCGGTCCCCGGAGGTGGGGGAACCAAAGGGGATCTGGGGGCCGAGTGCCCTGGCCCATGCCGCCAGTCCAGGGCTGCACTCCCTTTGCTGTTTCTGGGTGCGGGGTCTGATGTGAACATGATTTGGCTGTGGT